TCCAGGCAAATTTCATAATTAGCGTTGCATGGTCTTCGGTGGCTATTGTATTTGGGCTTTAGTGCCAAATTGTACATGCATAAAGCTAATGTCCGCAAAGTGTTCAAGTAGCAACATTAGCGCAGACCTCGGAAGCCCCACGCACTTTGGCTATTTGGACGATCGGATCGAGTATGTATGGGAGACGTCCGAAGAATAAAAGTTAGGTTACAGCGATCGGATCGCCGCAGTTCATGAATATGGCAGATGCATGCCTTTTATACAGGCTTTGATTCGCTGAATGTAAACTTAAAGGGGCGGAATTTAGTTTAACAAGCACTTATTGATAATAACACTGAGTATGACTGTAAAACGCAGGTTTTGCTTTTCGCCCATTCCTTCTTTGCATATAAGTACCTTTGCATTTATATCGTGAATATTTCGCGTTCTTCTCCCGTTTTTTTAATGCAGTCCGAAGCGACTTACTCTTTCAATTTTTGAATGCTTTGACGTGATGTGTTTATCGATGCATTTTTATTGTTTTAGCGTCAAAATCAAATGGAAACGCCAGAGTAAAGCCTTCATCCAAAAATGGGGATTGGTCATTCTGCATTAAGCCCCCTACCTCCCTACTACTTCACTGTCACCTTCCGACAACCCGATGAGCTCTGGATATTCCAACCTCCTGTTAAACTTCTCCTTTTCATCCGATCCCTTCTGATTTACCTGTGGCCGGATGAGCCCATCCAACAAAAGCAATGCAATGGTAAGCCCAGCAGGCGGTCAAAGAAGGCAGACGACGGCCAAGCTAAGCCAAATGTCATGGCCAACACGTTTTTCCGAATTCCGGGCAGACCGTTTGTTTTGCCCAGTGACACGCACGGCATCCGGGAAAGCGGAAAGGCGTATAAATTTGCTACGATCCTGATTTCCTACGTCCATCATCTGGGATACGCACTAGTCTCTAGTGGACATTTTATCCGCGGAATTGAGGCGTACACGTGTATCTTTCGACTCAAGCAGGGTCTCCAAGCGAGTGCAGGTGAATTGCCGCAAGACGCCGTGCCTGGATCCCACTTTTTGACTAACAAGAATGCCTGCTTCCGGCGTAGGAAACGCGAAAACTCATTTGACTGGTCATCTTTTCACCCCTTTTCCGCTGTTGGTCTGGAAGGTTGGAATAGGATCTACTTTATAAATATCAACAAAGACCTGTTTGCGGATATTAAGACAGCACTGCAGGAGGTAATATAATTTCATTTCATTTAAATGAAAGTGTATGTTTAAGCATTGCGCCTGCATTATTTTAGATCACGCGGAAACGTGAGTGACAATTAAAAGCAACAACGGTTAGTATAGATTTCTAGAAAATTCCTGCATTTCGCTCAAACAGGAGAATAATCATGTGCACGGCGGCCCTCGTGGCTCAATGGTAGAGCGCAGACTGCGCGAAGGCGTTCATGCTGTGTGGGTTCAATTACCACCGAGGCCGCGAATTTTTCACACTTTTGTCAACTGAAATAATTGGAATCTGTCAAATCCCTACTATTTGTGGTTAGCCTAGTAGTTAATTCGGTGGATCCTATATGATTACATAGAAAATCTTGCCTGCCAGTCAGCTTACTCTATCCGCACTAGTGCCTTTCATACGCGCAGTAAGTCGTGCAAGCAAACCCATCCAAGTGTGATTAACTTCACGCCTCCCGTAGCTTCGTAGCTTAATGGTAGAGCATTGGCTGCGCAAAAGCCTTCCCTGCTGTGTGGTTTCGACTCCCACCGAGGCCGTGAGGTTGTCACAGTTGCTTAAACTTATTTTATTGAAGTCTGCCAAACCTCTAATAATACAGATTATTATTTTCCGTTTCCTTTTCCCAAACGCATGTTTTTCGAATAAAAGTTGAATTTCCTCTCGATTTTTATATGAATTCTTGTTCAACCCAGCTTAGTTCGTCATAATAACTATTTTCCATGAGCACCTATGTTAGGTTAGAAATTATTCGCCGATTCCGATTAAATAATGCAGACAGACGTTGATATATATATATATATATAT